ACTCCCATCCCTAAAAAGCCCGCCAACTTTGGTCCTAAATCTTTTCGTCCAATTGCCTGCTCCTCTGCAATACTAAGGCTTGCTGAAAGAGTTGCCCTAGATATCATAAAGCCTTTTTCTTCCAGTTTTTTTCCGGCCCTTTACAATTTGCATCCAAAGCCAAACGCAGTACTTTAGATGTTGTCGCCCTTGTGGTCCACTCTGCTCTAAAAGCATTAGACAAGGGTTGCCGCGAGTATGCGTGCGCTTTTCTTGATTAGTCCTCCGCCTTCAATACCGTCGCGCGCCCTCTTCTCCTTACCGAAACATCCGCGTGCTGCTCTCCAGACTGGATCGTCTCTTGGCTTAGTGATTATTTTACCTTCCGCACTCAATTTGTCCAATCTGGCAAGTGGAAATCTTCGATCCTTCCCAATGACTGCGGTGTTCTTCAAAGTTCCATTCTATCCCCTCACCTTTTCTCCCTCCACACTGACGATCTAAGGTTCCCTAATGACTGTCTTATGGTCAAGTATGCTGATGAGGTGGTTGTTGGACACCCTCTCAAAAGTCAGACACACCTCCGGTCTCTAACGGATGGTCTAAACCATGTCTTGGCGTGGTCGGAGGAAAATGGCCTCCTAATGAACAACCAAAAATCATTTCAGTGTATTTTCTGACTGAGGCCCTCTCCTAGTCCTGAATCCTCTGACATTCTTCCTAACGAAGTATCCTCTTTTAGGTACCTCGGCGTTTCTTTGTCCTCAAATCTTTCATTTTCCCTCAATATGGAGTCCCTATTTACTAAGGTTCGTAAACCTCTTTATTACATGCGTCGTTTACGTTCCTACCACACACCTCAACCCTTAGTCTGGCGATTCATCGATGCCTGCATTCTTCCTCTTATCCTATACTGCTCTCCTGTCATTTTTCCTGCTTTGCTTAAAAAGGATCTTTTAATTTTGAAACCAGTCCTCCGCATGCTCTCTTCTGCTGCTGGTGTTTCTTATCTTTTTTTAGTTGACACTATCTTACAACGGCATTTCAATGCGGCCAAGCAATTTTCTGGTCGAATTCTAGATGACGTTGCCCATCCCTTGCGTTCTGATCTTATTTCTGCGAGGTCTTCCCGCCCAATGCGCCGCAGCTTCCGACTTATATCATGTCGCACATCGGCTTATCGAGCGTCTGTATTGCCATTCCTAGCACGCCTACGTGCGAAGAGACAGAAATGCAGAAGCTAAGACTTGAACTATCCTCATAATAATCTTTTCTTCTGTGTTAATCTTTGACTCTTGAATAATCTATTAACTTATTTACTGCCCATAGTGAATGGAGCCAATTTTTTGCTGAAAATGTTTAACTTACGATTTCAAAATAAAGCGACTTCCTCTCTCTCATAAGTGGAAGGCAGGCAACTACTAATCTACCACCAGTGCACCTTCCAGTATAACAACGGTTAAGAAGTACCCCAAAGGAAATCCTAGGTGAACCCATTTCTCAGGTTATTGTGCTCCGGTGTGGTTACAGAGCACGAACTATACTTGTTACGATGCTCACCTGCTTGCGCAAGGCCGCAACCAAAGTCAAGACTTCTGATTAAGTGAAGACATGCAGCACGATGTGATTTAAGTCCTGGAAAATAAAACTTTCTATTAAATAATCCAGTCTTTCTTTAGCTGGGCTGAAGGCAATGGGGACGCGATAAACACGCCGTACCGTTAATAACCGCTGAGTAACTTGTAGAACTGAAAATTTACTTCGCCGCCGAGACAGCCAGTCAGGAAGTTTTCGATTGGGCATCTGCCAAATTCAGGTTGAAACAATTGGTGTCTTTTGTGCAGAAAAGATATTCGGCAAGGTCTGACGGCTGAAGATCGGTGCTGGCTCATGAATGGTCCTGCAGTGGCCCTCCTCTGGGAGCCTGTTGCAACGCTATGCCTCTCGCGAGTACTTTTACATGAGCACCAATCACGGCTGTCCAAACCGACCGGTCATCTTCAAAGCCGACCCAGGCGTGCTCTCGCACAACGCGCTGTGACGCATTGCCCAGTCGCTTGCCCGGCTGCCAACTCAATCCAACCGTTTCTCTGGTCTTTCTGTACAGAATACAGCATCCTCTCAACGGGCTTCCAACAACTCTTTCTGTTCGAGACAGGACGTGAAGGTCGTAGTGGATAGGCTCTGCCAAGGGCTTCAGCTGTCGCCGTATTTGGGAGCGGGATCTCTGGAATGGTCATTTCTGGCTTGCTAGCCGTCGTCAGCCAACCTTGCCCGAGCTCAGATTTAAGACAACTGAGGATCAGATATGATTATGCAGCCGCACTTGGGGTAAAAAAAACACCAGCCACCTGTAATACGGGACCGGTGGTAATAGGGGTTTTTATAGGTGGGGCCGGGGAACGCACAGGCGACGAATTCAGGTAATTGTATGCAAAAGAAAAGTTATTGCGAATGCTCGGTTATCCTTTGAGTGGTTGAGAAATGGTTTTCCTAAACGAGAACCCTATGCCCAAGCTTAACCCTTTAACCATGAACCTATCCCTTGACCCCAGCCCTAAACCTTAACCCTGAAACATTCAACGCGAAAGTTAGAAGGAGACGACAGGCCGAAATTCAAGATGGACCACCGGCATCGGACCGAAAAAGGTAGACAGAGCCACAAAGAAACAATGCCGCCAACAGAATACACACCGTAACGAACAACAGCACCATGCCAACGTAATCACCAACTCAAAATAACTAAGTAGGTCAACAGTATTGTGTCTATCAGGTGCGGCTACATAACCACATCTTACCGCCCTGAGCCCCGAAGCCGCGTTTTCTGATTATTGCAATTAAATAGCATCTTACGCACCGCATCACATAGAATTCTGGATGGATAGGGAAGCGAAGCATTTATAAGCCAGTACAACAAAGTAACTTGGTTGCAAAAATCTAGGAAAAACCCAGCAGTAGAAATCTTTTATTTAACCGGACTATCTGAAAGGGCAGAATATGTCAAAGTTGGACTCTTTTGTACCAGTCGATTAAGCGACGCCGATGATATTAGACCCGAGTACAGGTAGGAGGAGAAAATAGGTGTCATTTGGGGGAATAAAAATTAGCTGGGACAGCGTACGTGCGTCGAGGCAAGTCGCAACGAACTTCCCGTCTACAGTCGTCGACTAGTTCCGCGTACGCCTCTGATTGGCTCTTGGGAAGGTCAGAGCGGTGTAGGCATGATAGCGCAGACGGCCTGCGTGCGATAACGCAGACGTCACGTAGTATGGATGTAGAGAAAAAGGTTCCTGTGGCAACTACTACCTACACCACATTCTTTCTATGTAGATTTCACTTGCTTGTCACTAGTGTAAGCTTTTTACAGCCAACACGACTGTGTTCACTGTCCTAGAATTTTTTGGGTTTTTTGGCGGGCTAGGTTAGGTCTGGGATAAGAAGTGAATATCAGGGTTTATATAAGGTTTGGTGCTAGGGGGCTAGGTGAGTCATGCCATAGGCTCACACTTTCAGGGTTTGTATAACTTTTTATATTGACCCAACTGTGAAAAACTCGGCGCCTCGGTGGGATTCGAACCTACACAGTAAGGGGAAGGCTTTAGTACAGCCAACGCTCTAATCACTTGAGTGGTTCGAATCCCACCCAGGCGCCGAGTTTTTTACAGATGGGTCAATCTGAATTATTCAAAATCTGCCAAAATATCTATGAATTTTATAATTTTGTTTGTTCCCCATATTAGCTACCTGGGTGGACAATTCGTTAGGGGTAAGGAAGGGGCTGGATGATTGCAAGTGCATCTAACCTTAATAGGCAGATAGTTGACAAAAAAATTACCAGATATCAGCGACGTTTAGGCGGTGCGCGGACGACAAGTGAGTCAAACTTCTAGGTCTTCGTGTAAAGGCGAGCTGACGGCTCTTACTGTCTGGACTGGCGTCAGGTCGCAAGCGGATACCGTACGCGTTTGTGGAGGGCCTTACCGATCACTTCAATGGTAGACTAGTCGAAGCGCTGTTTGTTGTTAAGGGCCTGCATACGACCGCGCGGAGTCCCGCACGTCAGGGGAAAACATGCTTGTATTTACCTAGAGGAGGGCGTAGGCACCGACGTGTTCGCAAAACAAATTATGATTATTTGACAGCCGCTAGCGGCGATGTCCACCGTGCGCCTCATGGCGTGGTGGACGCAGAACGGTAACTTGCGTGTGGATTACTTTTTTCGTAATGAAGACCGCATCCTCTCCTCCGTCACTCTTCTGGGCCCGATAACAAGATAGGATCAGTACGACCGAAGACAGGCTCGAGGACCTTGGTTGACGAGGCCAAACATTCCGTCTATACGTGCCACGCATGAGATGGCTCCCAAGACAGCGATCAATAATTTCGAGATGGGTGGCCTGAATCTCGCATGCCTGAGAGTGCCATAGAGGCCACACTCATAGGGAACCACTGAGTCTTCCCCTCAGTCCTGAAAAGGGCCGAGAAGGAAATAAGGCTGATCGGATACTTCCCTAGAATGAACTTCCCAGTCTGTGACGATGCTGCACACGGAAATGTTGACCAGTATTCAAAGTAGACGTACAGGAAGTTTATTTGCCGTCCTATGGTTGCCAGATCTTCTTTTATAAAAAGAATTCACTGGGACTCTATTCCTGCCTCCAGCATGTGGGAAGCCGTCGGTCCAAACGAGCAAATACTGATACTAGTCGATCTACTTTTGCCACCTAACCTTGGCAATACTACTGAATGCCGGGAATACAGTAGTGTTGATTAAGAAATGGGACATTTCCAGCTACTACTGATTTCGAGTAAAAGTTGATTGCTTCTCAAGGTTTTAACTATGCTTTCACTAGCCCCCTCATGAGGTACCAAAGAAGCTAACATAACAACTACATCAAATATAATGGATTCTTCAGGGTACCTGTTAAGACCTTGCTGACATACGATTAACTCGGTGGGTTTGTATGTCCGTTTAGACGAACGCTGCCTGTCGACGTAAAGAGCATTGTGGAGGGGGGCCCATGCTGCAGTTCCACAGTCTCTCTCTCTCTCTGTCCGTTCAGGCTGTTGGACGGTCACTTTACGACATTGGCAAAGATACCCCGTCGCAGATGCCCTGTCGAAGACAGTCACGCATGAAGAAGCAGTATATGCGACATCAATTAAATCGGTCACGTGAGGTATGACAACAGTTGTAGCAACTGCTTGTAGTCGGCAAATCGACGATACATACCAAACATAACAACAAAGCTAGCGGAAACTCCTACTTTGCCGTGCCCTAACACACACATCCGATATTCGACACCACGAAGCCGCTCTCAGGACGGCGAATACAATCCGGTAATCGTCATTTGTCTGAGGACTAAACCATATGATGGAGTAGGGTGTGTGTGTGTCGCACACCCTGTGGCACCTGCGGGTACCTCCTCTATTTCCTCCTACCCCTCCACTGCCTCAACGTCCGCTACGGCGGCTCCTGTACCCGCCACCACTTCACATGATCCTGGCACACCAACAAACACCAACTCCCCACCGTCAACGCAATTGATGCGGACTCGATCCATACCTGTCCTCATTCCAATCGCACCTTCACCGCACACATCGGTCTGGTCGGTCACTTGCGAGTTCATCGCACAGAGACTGGCGAATCAGTGTCTGGAGCACCAACCTGCACTCGCCGCATCCGCCTCCACTGCCCACATTGAACTTGCACATTCACTCCCCGCTTAGGTCTTCTAGGGCATATGCGTATTCAAGAGAGCCTAGTGACCTCAATCTCGACACACCTATCACCTCCTGCACATCCACTATGCCTAGCTCAACCCACAAACCGACGCCCGGCACGCCCACCACCATCAGCTTCACCACTACCATCGTCTCCGAAATCGACACTGACACCGCCGACTTTTCCTGTCCACACTGTCCCCGTAAATCCACCTCACACGTCGGCCTGGTTGATCACTTGCGAATCTATTGCACAGAGACTGGCGGACCAGTCCCTGGAGCACCTACCTACACTCGCCGCATCCGCCTCAGTTGCCTTCACTGAACCCGCATATTCACCCACCTCATGGGCTTATAAGGCTACATGCGCATTCAAGAAAACCTGTGATAAACAACCGCCGGCTACACCACACCATCATATCTTCCCCACCTACATCACACAACATCATCCGACACAGGCATTCAATCGCCACCTCCCACGCAAGTGGGAAATGTGGGCCTCGACTCCGCCTCCATGCGGCTCCTGTCACATGGGTGACTCGAGTCTGAAACTATCGCGGCGCGTCAAGCGCTGTGAATTGGAAGGCTGCTAACTGACACTCCAAGTAAGTACACGCAGTCTTCCTAGTTGTGTATATGTGTGGAGTGGCGGACTGGTTGGCTGACTGCCAGACTGAAGCGGCCTCTTCTTAACGTGACCTACGGCACTCTCACGCATGTGAGATGTACGCCGCTCAACCCCCGTTGTGTGAACTCTTGGTGCTTGTGTTTGATGGGCCAGGTCGTGCATGTGGTGAGCACAGACAAGGTCACTAGACTATGTCAGTCACCGCGCCAATTTCCTGCACCTGTCAACTGACCGGCTCGGACAGTGGCTAGGGCCTGGGAGTGAGCAGGGAGGACGAGATCAACAACTCAGCGCACCTTTTTCACTTTAAACAAGCTGATGCGTTTGAAGCCATTAAGGCGCGGTGAAAGCCGTGGCTTTGAAGGTTACCGACTGACGGGATAACTTGGACCTCGCAGTCGACCCAGTGTTGTGGTTTTGTGGGGGACGGACGGTTGGTGGTCTAAGAGTCAGGCTGCAATGGCTCCTTATTAATGTGGTCTTTCTGGCAGTCCTAATACGTGGGATCCGAGCAGGATGTGACGGCACGCCTATGTGCGGCTCCGGTCGTGCCAGTCGCCCTTTTGTTGTTGTTGGTTAAAATCCTGGTCATTTGCTGTGTGGACCAGGAGGTGTGGAGTGGAGTGGAGTGCCAAGGTGTGGGCTCGACCGTGCCATCCACCTGCGTCCTCCCCCACCTCCGGTGTTTTTGACTTTGTCCTGACATCGAGTCCAGGTTGGGCGGGGAGGAGAGAGTGCGATAGATGCTGTGCAAGTTTACATTCACTATGAACTAAATCACGCACAAGTCACCGTCCCTGTTTCCACCTTGCTGTGGAGCACACGGTGGACGACGGTCGAACTGTCGGTACCTGCGGGATCTCCAGTTAAGGGCTACTCCGTGAAGAAGCGGCAGGTCGCAGCATACGTCTTCTTCAAGCGATGGAAAGCCCTCACGACAAAAAATACTCCCCGACCATAGGCCCTGCCTAACAAGGAAACCCCAGCAACCGCCCCGACCGACGGGTTAAACCAGACGAGTGTATCCCCTGTGGTGTGTCTCCACACCCAGCAATTCTGCTCCCATTCCTTTTCCTACTCCTCTTCCTTTCCACTTCATAAAAATCCTGCGGAGAGAACGACATGCAATCTCGTAGATAGCCCAAACTAGCTCGGGCCGCTCTCTACTAAACAAAGCCGTGACCCGTAGTGGGGTTCGGCAGCTCTTTTTTTGGGACAGCACTGCTCACCAGGCTGGTGGAGTGAGTCAGCTCATTCTGGTAGCCTCAAAGTTCATTTTCTTTGCGGAAATCCGCAGAGCAACCGACCGAAGGAGGGGGGAATAGAGAGGGAGAGAAATACGCTTTCTTTTGAAAGTATGTTTCACAATTTTAAGTAAAAACGGCTTTCATTTACCGTGCGCATATAAAATAAATAGCACCAGGGGATTACAACTGCGACATATCAACCGCAAACTGCAACTGTTGCAGTATCACTGAAAATGGCCGGTGAATTTGGTGCAAACTTTGTGCCAGTTTGCTTTTTCTCCGAAACGGAGCTATCGTAACGCTAATATAACCTCTTGTGGATAAAAATGAGTATGTGCCGAATGAAATATTTCAACTGACTTATGATCACGACAAATTCTACGTAAATGGAGAGCAGAACAAATGGAGGCTCAAATTCACTAGACCCGAAAGGAAGATAGCGTTAGTCTCTCAAGAAATGGCGCATTACAAGGCGGACATCGCTGCTTTCAGCGAGACCCGATTTTCGAACATGGTCAGCTGGAGGGCTACACCGGCTGCACCTTCATCTGGAGCGGTCGTCCAAAGGCAGAGCGACGTGACGCGGGGGTCGCCTTTGCCATACGGAACGACAGCGTGGGACGACTGCCCTGTCTGTCGCAGGGCATCAACGGTCGCCTGAGGTGCCTCCGCCTACTTCTCCCGGGAGGTAAATTCCGCACCATCATTAGCGCCCACACCCCAACAATGACCGACTCAGACTTGGCGAAGACAAAGTTCTACGAGGACTTGAACGCCCTCCTGGCGACTGTGCTGAAGGTGGATAGATTTATTGTCCTTGGTGAGGGATTGCTGGGTCTCCATGGTCTGGGCAGTTGCAGCGAAAATGGTCGCCTTCTCCTCCTGCTAACCTGTGTAGAAACTAGTCTCTTCACAGCTAACACCTCCCACCTTCCGACGCAAAAGAAGGCATCTTGGATGCATCACAGATCGCGGCACCAGCAGTTGCTGTACCAAATTCTCGCCCGAAGGCGAGCTTGACAATACCTACTGATGACTAGGAAAATCTGCAGTCCCGACGGCTGGAGGAATCATTACCTCGTAATCTCCAAGATGAGGCTCCGTCTGTAACATCGTAGGAGACCACAAGGTAAGCGACCACCAGGAAAGCCAAATACTATTTTGTTGAATTTGTCTGGCCAATCGTCAGGAAGAGCCGCAGTACCCGGATGAAAATGCCTTCTTGGAGATGCAGGGCTGTCACCAGGGGAACATCATCTGTTCCAACGCTCTGAATGTTCTCTATCGCGCACGCTGTTAACACTTGGACTGGCCTGTTGATCACAGCGCAGAAATCACCGACCTAATTGCCGAGGTGAATAGGCTACCGCTGAATCGATGCAAATCAAGTGGCTTCCTTCAACTGTCGCTGTTTGAAGCAACAGTGACTGTAGGGGATGTTAAGTTTGTCGATGGATCGCAAAACAGAAAAAATCCAAGGATGCGCGAATTTCCTCGACCCATCAAAAAGTCCACGGCCTCGGCACCAAAGGAGCCGCACCGCTGCTCACCTCCAACAGAACATCTCTACTCACTGAGAACTCGCATATTCTGAAGCCCTGGGCTGAGCAATCCAGGACCACAATCAGACGTCCATCCCCAGTCTCCGCCCTCGCCGTGTACCCGCTGCTGCACGTGAAAACCGGCACTGGTATTGACGGTCTGCCTCGTCTCCCAGAATCATTCTAAATCCTGGAGCAGCTCACCAGCGCAGTAGCACCCGAATCCGAGGCAGCCTCAGTCGAAGTCTATAGGCATTGCGGCCCTCGACTGGTGGACAAATCCACACCACTGCTACAGGCGATGTGACGGAGAGGACAAGTTCCTCAGGACTTTACGGAAATGACTATCGTCCGTCTCTATAAGCGGAACGAGTATCGTCAACTGTGACGATCACCGAGGCATTTCCTTCCTCAACAGTGCAGGGAAAAGTTTCGTTTACGCCCTCCTCAAGCGCCTGAATACCCACCTGGAAAGAGCACTCCTCCCGCGGTCGCTGCACCATCATATACGGCATTCGCCGCCCGCCAGTTTCAAGTAAAATGCCAAGAAATGCGGACAAGCTTCCGCACCGCCGTTGTGAATCTTCGATTTCGTGAACAGCGACGGATTCTGAAGAACCGTGTCGAAATTCTGATGTCCGTAGAGTTTTACACACTGTGACCCAGCTCCACAACGAGGAGTGATGGCTCTCGTCACGGACAACGGGGCAGTCTTGGAGGCAGTTGCAGTGACCGGGGTTGTATATTCGCTCCCATCCTCTTCCGCCTCATGTTCTCATGTTCTGCCCTCGCCGCAAGATAATAAAAGTGAGGTGGCAGGACAGGATCCAGGACATGGAAGTCCGGAATCCGCAGCGTCTGCATCACGCTGAGCCAATTGCAACTGTGCTGGAGCGACCACCTCACGAGAGTGGATGACAAGTGCCTACCCAAGCGACATTTATACGAGAAGTCGTAAATGGTGCTCTCCAACATGGAGGACAGAAACGTCGTTACAAGGACACTCTGAAAATATTAACCCAAAGACCTTAGGTAACCGCTTCCATGATTTGTCGTTTTGGGTTAAAGCAGTGAAGACTGAAGCAACAATTTACTGAGTCAAACGGACCACTGCTGCCGAACCCAAGAGAATAGCTCGAAAGTTGCAGGTGCCGCAGACTCCCAAACTGAAAGCTCCACCACTAACAGCGTGCCCACGCTGTCAACGGAACATTCCGAGCGCGGACCGATCCCGTCGAACATTTTCGGGCCCAATGCAACAATAATACGACAGGTCTACCTACTGTCTCGGAAAACGTCTCAACCGTCGGCACTACCGCAACCACCATGACGCCCACGACGACGGCGATCACCACCAATCCCGTCGTCGCCGCTGCCGATGCCCATCACCTCTGCGACGACGTCGATGACAACTGCCACCCCTTCCGCTCCCACCGCTGTTGGGAACGCCCATCACCACCAATCTTACCACCAGCAATGCGGGTTTAATTGCAACCTGTCCACACTGCGACCGCTCCTTCACGTCACGCACCGACCTCGTCGGTCACTTGTGAAGCCATCGGACCGTGACCGACGAACCAGTGTCAGAAGCACCAGACATACACCCGTCATCCTCACCACAAATGCCCGCACTGTACACGTACACTAAGTCACCACATTGACCATATCCGCCTCCATGAGCATTTACAGTTTTCACCGCAGACTAAACCCCATCACCACACACCTCCTAACCAGCCCATCCTCCCACCTAAAGGAAAAAATGCTGTTTGAGGCATCATGGTGCCAAATGGGGTTGTCTGTGACAGGCAGATCTTCTCCTGCCGTTCTGTCAACCACTGCTCCCAACCCCAGTACCAGATGGCGGAGAGGTCAGGGCAGTAAACTGGAGCACGTGAGAGGGAAGATAGAATGAGGCCGACGTTCAGTAATTTGTCGCCGCGGCTGGCATTCCTCACTATGATAATATAAGTACTTTTCGGCCAAGTATTTGGAGCACTCGTTCGACCAATGTTGGAATATTGTACTCAGGCATGGTGGCCCTGGACGAAGCAAGATTACACCCTGTTGGAGAACATACAACGAACAGCAACCAAGCTGGTCAGCGGATTAAGTTGTTTACCTTATGAGAGACGCCTGGAAAAGCTAACAATATTTCCTCTCTCTCTTATAGACAATACAGGGGGGATATGATGATGGCCTTCAGGATCGTCAGAGGGCTCATATATACAGAATTATACCGAATAATACTGAATTCGGGCTGGAATGCACCACCTTCAACAGAATGACCCCCTACTACTCACCGTCTGCTAACATACAGACAGTTGTATATGAAATATTGCTCGAACCACCCCACTCACCTCAGATTCTGCTGTAGCTACTGGATTTCGGTCCAAGTATTCAATATTGAGGCTCAAACCAAACTGTCTTGCTTCGTAAACTTTGCTCAAAATCCACACAATAGTTTCTGAGAAAATTAAAAAGCCTCAGATAGGAAGTTGTCACAGTCTACCTTTCCAACGCCAGCAGTTGTAATTTGAAAACTTCCGTGAAGATTACGCAGAAGACTTGCGGGAATTTTATTTCGGAAGAGAGTTTTATGCGATTGCAAGAGTCAAGTGACTACCGTAGTTATTTAAACAATTGAGTGCCGTCTATGCAATGATTTATCGCTTTCCTTGCGCAACTCAGATTGTAGTCTTCGCAGTAATGGCAGCAGTCCACCAAAAAAGGGTTTGAACAGTTCGCCCAGAACAAATACAAACTACAGTGCGTGACCGATTTCATGAAATATTGGCCGACATCCTGAAATGCGTTTTCGACTAGGAAGGATTGCTTAAGTGGGGTTGTAATAATAATTGGCATGCAGCATAATCCTATAGCATTTCGGACTCGCCAGGATGTCGGTTTTTGAATGCACTCCTATTTGGATTCCTGCAAAAACCGCACTCGGTAAAACATGACTACTAAAGTAGCATGCATTTTTTCCATTGATTTTTGATGGTCTTATAAATTCAAATATATTTTGCAGAAAACATGCATAGAAATATGCTTTATTTTGCTCATTTGGAAGTAAATCACATTGCCTGTACATTTTATACCCCCAGAAAGGTTATCTTTCGGTTTTGCAAAAGTTCCTAATTATGAAATTTTTAAGACGTTGCGATGTCCATGTATTCAAGACCGCACATGTCCATTTACTAATGCTCCTCATGAAATGTGCAACACAGTCCGGGTCAATTGCGAAATTTCATGAACATTATGTGGTATCTTCTCAAAGCCATAGAAGAATATATGATTTTTCTTACGCGGAAAGCATGCACTTTGTAGAGTGAACTCGCTAAACGCTAATGCAATGACAGACCAGACTCAAAACTATTCGCGAATTTGGAAACTTTTTGAAACCTAAATATACACTTTTTTCAGGTACAAAACATGAGACGATATGATTTTCTACCAAACGAGTAAAATAAGGCATATTTGGTGCATGTTTCTATAAAATATATTTCAATTTATAAGAAAATCGAAAGCCAATAGAAAAAATTCATGCTACTTTAGCATTCGTGTTTTACCGAGTGCGGTTTTTGCAGGAAGTCAAAAAGGAGTACATTCAAAAAGCGACATCCTGGCGAGTCCGAAATGTTATAGGATTATGCTGCATGCCAATCATCCTTACAGCCCCACTTAAGCAATCCTTCCTAGTCGACAACGCATTTCAGAATGTCGGCCAACCTTTCATGAAATCGGTCACGCACTGTGCGTGGGTACATCGATTAAAATTTAGTTAATTTTCGTAATCCTTTCATGATCTATTCAGGGGCCCTTACTGATAACTGACTGCGATTTATCTTGAGGGCTGTGGAACCAGAACCATTACTGAGCCACCAAAACCTTTTTAGAGATGTGCCTCCGGACCAGAAAACACTTTAACAGGCTGCGTGATCCCTCACTACCAATAAGCGCCGGGGGGGGGGGTGCCTGTAACCCAGGTTTCCAAATGGTTTGTCCATGTGAAAGAGGCAAACCCACAGAACTGATTTCAGCGCGACTTGCTGCAGATGACTGAGGCTCTTCTGTCGGACAACGCAGGCATTTGCTTTGATAGGACCCCGACGGGTCTTTAATAAAATAATAATAGTAATAATTATTATTCTTATTACTATCATTATTATTTAATCAGCAGAAGTATGGGTGCCCCTTCCAGCGAAGGTAGGTCGCTCACATCCCCACCCCTTCCTCTTTGCTGAATGCCATACTGTAGTCTGACCCGGTTCGTACTTCTTTCCAAGAGTTTATTTAACCTCTTCGCCTGTCGTCAGTGACTGGCTCCTGGTTAGATTACTTGTGAGGTCAAAGCAATAAATGTGCTCATCGGATGGGCTTACTCGGTCACATGCGCCTCCGTGAAAATCTGCGGTAAATTACCGCAGACTAGACCACATCTTGCTACATTTCCCCGTTAACACATGCACCAGACGTAAA